AATATTCTTAAAGAGCCACAAGCCAGCATATTTAAGCATATATAAGCACATTTAAGTGAGCATATTTAAGCTCAATCAACTCAAACACTTCTTCATAGGATTTATCATGAGATTTCAAGGTTAAAAAATTAAGATACTATTTAATTTTCAAAATAGGAAACAAATTATAAATATATAATTATATAAATTATAAATAGTTAAATCACAGCTCAATAACATAACTATAAAACTAGGAATTATAATTTTACTATGTCATCTGAAATTTGCAGTGACACTACACCAAAAGCACACGCAACAAAAGGACAAAATAGATCAATGCAACTTCATCAAAATTAAAAGCTTTTGTATATCAAAGGCCAATATTAAGGGTGAAAAGACAACACACAAAATGGGAGACATTTTCATATCTGATAAGGGTCTAGTATTCAGAATATAAAGAACTCAATAATAAAAAGACAAACAGGCCTGGGAAACCAAGCAAGACTAGTAACGACAATATGAAAAAAAGGTAAGTTGGGAGCTACTCAGGGAGGCTCAGGCAGGAGGATTGCTTGTGCTCAACAGTTTGAGGCTACAGTGATCTATGATTAACCAGTATTCATAAAGAATCCATAGAAGAGCTGAAGCTTTAGCTTTCAGGCTGGCTTTGTAGTATGCACATCTGCTTTTCCCCTGCACTGCTCTTCACAACCATTTGGTTCCTCGAGATTCAAAGAGCACTCCATTAATGTCTCTCAGATTTCCTTCCAAGCCAAAGACTCCCTTTTGTACAAGTTTTAATGATAGGTTTGACATTCCGCCTGTGAGAGTACACAACAGCCATTTGGCCAATGATAAGTGCAACTCATCCTGCTTTCTATCATAAAATGTTAAAATATGAAAACAAGGCACCCTACAAATTGATGAAACACAGCCTATTCCAAAAAACAGAACGTCCCAGGCATAATCACTTTTATCTAAAAGGAAGAAGCAAGCAAAGATTCTCACAGTTATCACTGTATTTCTCTTTTCTTTTTCTTTTTTTTTTTGAGACAGTCTGCTCTGTCACCCCGGCTAGACTACAGTGGTGTCATCATAGCTCACTACAACCTTTCAACTCCTTGGGCTCAAGCGATCTTCCTGCCTTAGCCTCCCGAGTAGCTGGGACTATAGGCACACACCACCATGACTGGCTAATTTTTCTATTTTTGGTAGAGAGGGGTCTCGCTCTTGCTCGGGCTGGTCAAACTCAATTCCTAGCTGGTAAACTCCTAGCCTTAAGCAATCCTCCCGTCTCAGCCTCCCAAAGTGCTAGGATTACAGGCATGAGTGACCTTGCCCAGCCTTCTCACAGGTTTTTAATAAACTCATTTGGTAGCAAAACCTAATCTCAACATATGTAAAGCTTTTTATTAATATGTTCTATTTATCCCATTTAATGTGAGATATGCATTTTACTAAAGAAATGGTAATGTCTGATTACTGGGAACTGCCCAGATACTATTATGTATTAATAATATGTGATGTATGTACCAATTATCTTTATAAAATCTGAAAAATGTGGAATTCCCAAATATATCAGACCTAAGGGTTTGTTTTTTGTGGTTTTTTTTTTGAGATAGAGTCTCACTTTGTTGCCCAGGCTAGAGTGAGTGCCCTGGCGTCAGCCTAGCTCACAGCAACCTCAAACTCCTGGGCTCAAGCAATCCTGCTGCCTCAGCCTCCCGAGTAGCTGGGACTACAGGCATGTGCCACCATGCCCAGCTAATTTTTTCTCTATATATTAGTTGGCCAATCATTTCTTTTCTATTATCGTAAGATGGGGTCTCGCTCTTGCTCAGGCTGGTTTCGAACTCCTGACCTCGATGATCCGCCACCTCGGCCTCCCAGAGTGCTAGGATTACAGGCGTGAGACCACGCCGGCCTGTTTTGTTTTTTGAGCCGAGTCTCACTCTGTTACCGGGCTAGACTGAGGCCCTGGCATTAGCTAGCTCACACCAACCTCAAACTCCTGGGTTCAAGCACCTCTGCCTCAGTCTCCCGAGTAGCTGACCCACAGGCATGCACCACCATGCCCGGCTAATGTTTTTCTATATATATTTAGTTGTCCAGCTAATTTCTTTCTATTTTTTTTTTAGTAGAGATGGGGTCTTGCTCTTGCTCAGAGTGGTCTCGAACTCCTGAGCACAAAGCATCCTGCCCCCCTCCTCCTCCCAGAGTGCTAGAATTACAGCCGTGAGCCACACGCCTGGGCCCTAAGTTTTATTAGCAGAAATGGAGAGGCCGGGCGGTGGCCCACGCTGTAATCCTAGCACTCTGGGAGGCTGAGGCGGGGATTGCTCAAGGTCAGGAGTTCGAAACCAGCCTGAGGCAAGAGCGAGACCCGTCTCTACTCATAATAGAAAAGAAATTAATTGGCCAACTAATATATATATAAAATTACCCGGCATGGTGGCGCATGCTGTAGTCCAGCTACTCGGGAGGCTGAGGCAGGGCAGGATCGCTGAGCCCAGGAGATTGAGGTTGCTGTGAGCTAGGCTGACGCCACGGCACTACTCTAGCATGGGGCCAACAGCAGACTCTGTCTCAAAAAAAAAAAGAATGGATGTGCATCCTCTGTCTACTATAGAATCTTTCTTCTACCACAGCTCCATAGAATTCTGATCAAGGATCAATTAGAAAATAGAAAGGAAGATAAAGGCCATTCTCACTGAAGTTAAGTGATATCTCATTATGGTTTTGATTTGCATTTCCCTGATAGAAATGTTGAGCATTTTTTCCTGTGTTAAGTTTGCGCATTTTCTGTTTCTTTTGAAGTTCTGTTCTGTCTTTGCCCATTTTTTGATAGGGTGTTTGATTTTTTTTGCTGATTTTCCTGAGTTCTAAAAGATTCTACTTATCAGCCCTTTTCGAATGTGTAGCTTGTGAAAATTTTCTCCATTCTGTGGGTTGTCTGTTCTCTTGACAGTTTCTTTGGCTGTGCAGAAGCTTTTAATTTGATCAGGTCCCATTTGTTATTTTTGTTGCTGCTGTGATTGCTTTTGGTCTTCATAAATTCTTTGCCTAGGCCAATGTCTAGAAGAGTAGATGTTGGCGTGGATGAGGAGAGATACGGAACCCTCCTACACTGCTAGTAGGACGCAAACTAAGGTCAGCCTCTGTGGAAAGCATATGGAGAATACCTTAAGTGATACAAGTGGATCTACCAGCCATGTAATATGAAAGACATTTATTGGGAAAAAAGGTAATAGTTAAAATTAATAATAAAATTAATACAAAAAAACCTGATCTACCATTTGATCCAGCGATTCCACTGGCTGGCCATCTACCCAAAGATCAATGACACTCTACAAAAAAAACACCTACACTCGATGTTTATAGCAGCCACAATCACCAATTGCAAGGTTGTGGAAACACCCAAGTGCCCATCAATACATGCGTGATTAATAAAATGTAGTATATGTATACCATGGAGTACTATTCAGCTTTAAGAAACAATGGTGATATAGCACCTCTTGTATTTCTGGATCGAGCTGGAACCCATTTACTAAGTGAAGTAACTCAAGAATGGAAAACAAGCACCACATGTACTCACAGCAATTTGGTATTAACGGATCAACACCTAAGTGGAAATATAGGAAAAACATTTATAGGGTGTCCAGGGCAGGTGGGAGGGGAGTGAGAGCAATGGGTATCATACCGAACACAATGAGTGAGATGTGCAACGTTTGGGGGATGGTCACAATTGAAGCTCTGACTCGAGGGGGAGGGGGGTATGGGCAATATACATAACCGTAACATTTGTACCCCTATAATATGCTGAAATAAAAATAATAATATTTATTATATCTCAAATAAAATAATAATAATCAAAAAAAAAAAAGAAGCAAATAAAGAACCACACTTCTAGAGTTCTTAAAAAGCAGAGGCAAGCATCCGAATCAACCCAATAGATGAATGCACAAATAAAATGTGGTATATATACATAATGGAATACTATTCAACCATAAAAAAGAATGGAATCATGCCATTTGCAGCAATATGGATGGAACTAGAGGTCATTATTTTAAATGAAATAAGCCAGACACAGAAAGACAAACATCGCATGTTCTCAGTCATATGTGGGAGCTTAAAAAGTGGATCTCATGAAGAAAGAAATTAGAATGATTGATACCAGACGCTGGGGAGGGATGAGGGGAGTAGATGACGAGAGGCTGGTTAACGGATACAAACATACAATTAGATGATAGAATGAATAAGTTTAACGTTACATATCAGAGTAGGCTGACTATAGTTAACAAGGTATTATATATTTCAATACTTGAAATGTTCCCAACACATACAAATGATAACTACTTGAGAAGATGGGCACCCCATATACTGACTTAATCATCACAGTCTATGCATGTAACAAAATATTATGTGTATCCCATAAATATGTACAAATATTATATATATCAATAAAAAGTTTTAAAAATAGAATAAGACTTCAGTAATGAATCTATATAATGTCTATTACACATCAACTGTGTACATGCTTGGCCAGTGCTAACAAAAGGGAGCAGAGTAATACCCTGCCATCCTACCCTAAGGCTGCCTTCATGTAGCAGCAGCTATTATCAATGATAAGACCACCAAAGGGGGGGAGGGATGGCAAGGGCAATATATGTAACCTTAACAATATTTGTACCCCCACAATATGATGAAATAAAAAGAGAAAAAAAAATTAAAAAAAAACAAACAAAAAAAAAACACCAAAGAGAAATCTTGGGAGACCAAATCAGGAACAAGAATTAGTCCATTGCCAAGGACTCAAATTTTATTCTTCTTGAGAAAGGCAACATTATTCTATAATGGTAATTTAACAGATTACTGATTTATGTTGCTATCTTTAAAAAAAAAAAAGTTAGTAACAGTTCATACCATGACTAGACAGTACAAAAAACTTACACTAGGACTGAAGATGTTTCAGTATTTTATGACAATTACTGTTTAAAACTGTGATGCATATAAGCACATACCTGTAATAATTCCAAGGTCATGGGGATATTCTTAAGTTCCTTTAGCAAATCCAATGCTCCAGCCTATAAAATAAAATAATTTCATACTGAATTCCCAAGATAGGAAAGCAGGATCTAGCCAGATATTTAAACTTATGATTCCTATCCATAACTCATAATGGCTCATTTATTCATGTGAGAAAAAACATCCATATACACATATACATACAGTATCTTTCAAATGGAGACTGAAACTCAGCAGAGAATCATATAATATATTTACTGGATTATGATCAGCATTTTTGAAGTAACTGGTAAGTACTGTTTTGTGAAAGTTTATTTTCAATAGTATTTGTTTACTTGTTAATATGTGTGTACCAGGTAGAAATGTATAATCTCCATAGAGAACACCTGCCTGAGAAAGGAGCCAACCCTGAGAAAGTGAAAGGGAGCAAGGGAAACTTTGCTACAATTCTCATGAGGTCTCTCTGTATCTCACTGGTCTGCCACAAGATCTGCCTACATGGTTTTTGCATACTAATAAAGAGCAAATATAAAAGAAAATTTAGAATTGAGATCTATGTTAAGCTCACAGGCCTGTCCACTGGCAATTCCAATTTAGAGTCAAAAACTCCCATGTATTGAACCAGTAATTAAAAGTGAAAAAAAAAAAAGGAAATAAAATAATAAAAAAGAAAAAATTAAAAAATAAAAAAAATAAAAAAAAAAAACTCCCATGTAGATGAAGAGGAAACAAAATATGGCTAATGGAAAAATTACAGAAAGCATCTAAAGTTAAGAAGAATAAAATTAGATAAGGAGCAATAGCACCACCTATAGCCTGTGGCAAATATTCCAATCTGATATTCATTTAATCATATTTCATCTAATATATTCACTTAATATTTCATTTATCTAATATACTTAAAGTACTATAACTGGACACATGATTATTTTATAAACCAGTAATAAACAAAAAACTATTAAACTATGACTATGTTTTTCTTATAACTTTTTACTTTTGTTTACTGAAAGAATTATTTTAGAGTTGGAATTTTTATATCACCTGTTACATTTATAAAAAGAAAAATATAAGCAAAATAAATTGGCTAAGGTGTTACTAAAAGTACTTCACAATCAGAGTCTAACACTTTTGAATCACTTTTTGACCCAGATTAAACAATATCTATTTTTACCCCACAAAGAGTTGTATAAAAACACTAGTGAAACAGTATTTCATAAAAGAATCCATAGAAGAGCTGACAGCTTTAGCTTTCAGGCTGGCTTTGTAGTATGCACATCTGCTTTTCCCCTGCACTGCTCTTCACAACCATTTGGTTCCTCGAGATTCAAAGAGCACTCCATTAATGTCTCTCAGATTTCCTTCCAAGCCAAAGACTCCCTTTTGTACAAGTTTTAATGATAGGTTTGACATTCCGCTTGAGAGTAACCAACAGCCATCTGGCCAATGATAAGTGCAACTCATCCTGCTTTCTATCATAAAATGTTAAAATATGAAAACAAGGCACCCTACAAATTGATGAAACACAGCCTATTCCAAAAAAACAGAACGTCCCAGAGCATATCACTCTTTATGCATTCCAAAGGAAGAAGCAAGCAAAGATTCTCACAGTTATCACTGTATTTTTCTTTTCTTTTTTCTTTTTTTTTTTTTGAGACAGAGTCTTCGCTCTGTCACCCGGCTAGGACTTACTAGTGGTGTCATTCAATAGTCTCACTACAAGCCTTCAACTTCCTTGGCTCAAGCGATCTGTCCTTGCCTAGCCTTCTCCGGAGTAGCGAACACCATTGACTGGTAGGATTTTTTTTTATTTTGTTAGAGGAGGGTCTCGCTCTTGCTGGTGGTCAAACTCAATCTCTAGTGCGTAAAATCTAGCCGTTCCTTTAAGCAATCTTCCCGTTTCAGCCTCCCAAATAGTGCTAGGATTACAGATGAGTGACTTGGCCCAGACTTCTCACAGGTGTTTTATAAACTCATTGGTAGGCAAAACCTCATTCTAACATATAGTAAGTTTATTAATATGTTCTATTTATCTCCTTTAATGTGAGATATGCATTACTAAGAGACAATGGTAATGTCTGATTACTGGGACTGCCAGATACGTATTACGTATAATAATATGTGATGTATGTACCAAATTATCTTTTATAAATCTTGGAAAATTTGGAATTCCCAAATATATCCAGACCTAAGGGTTGTTTTTTGTAGTTTTTTTTTTGAGATTAGAGTGTCAACTTTGTTTCCCAGGCTAGAGGTGAGTGCCTGGGCGTCGCCTAGCTCCACAGCAAACTCAAACTCCTTGGCTCAATGCTAATGCTGCCTCAGCTCCCGAAGTACGCTGGGTCTACAGGCATGTGCCACCATGCCAGCTAATTTTTTCTACTATATATTATTGGCCAATCAATTTTTGTTCATTATACGTAGAAGAATGGGTCTCGTCTTGCTCGCTGGTCTTGCAATCCTGACTCGAGTGGACCGCCCACTCGGGCCTCCCAGAGTGCTAGGATTACGCATGGACCACGCACCGCCGGCCTGTTTTGTTTTTGAGACTGAGTCTTCCACTCTGTTACCGGCTAGCTGAGTGCCCTGGCATTAGCGTAGCTCACACAACCTCAACTCCTGGGTTCAGGCATCCTCCTTGCCTCAGCTCCCGAGTAGCTGGGACACAGGCATGCACCACATGCGCGGCTACTGTTGTTTGTCTTATAATTTTAGCTGTCAGCTAATTCTTTCTATTTTTTTTTGAGTAGAGAGGTCTGCTCTTGCTCATGGAGTCGGTCTCGAACTCCTGAGCACAAGATCTGCCGCCTCCCTGCCTCCCAGATGCTAGACAGTTACAGGCGGTGCAGCCACCGACGCCTGGCTAAGGTTTTAATTAGCAGAATGGAATGTGCATCCTCTGTCTGACTTAGACATCTTTCTACCCACACGTCCATAAATTTCTGATCAAGGAGGCAATTAGAAAGGAAATAAAGGCCATCTCACTGAATTACAGTGGATATCTCACTTAGTGGTGTTGATTTGCATTTCCGCTGATAGAAATGTTGAGCATTTTCCTGTTTAGGTGGCTTTTTCTTCTTCTTTTTGGAGTTTCTGTCATGTCCTGTTGCCCATTTGTTTTAGTAGGTTTTCTGATTTTTTTCTTGTGCTGTTTGCCGTGAGTTAAATGCGATTCTGAGGCTTATCAGCCCTTATCGTGATGTTAGTTGAACATTTCGCCTTTGTCTTTGTGGTTGTCTGTTTCTCTGATAGTTTTGGCGTGCAAATGCTTTTAATATGATCAGATATGGTGTGCGCGATGCCGTTTGGGGGTCAATACTTGTAGGTGTATTTGTTAGAAGTAGTAATGTTTGTGCTGGTGTGTGGATGAGAAGATTAGAGACATCGCTGACAGGCTGCTGGTGGAGAAAACGGGTGAGGCGACGCTGTGATAAGCATAAGTGAGAGTTACCTTAAGTGATACAATCCGCCTGGATCTACGCTAGCCATGTAATATTTGAGACTTCATTTAGTTGGGAAAAACAAGGTAATAGTAAATTAAAATTATATTAAAAAAGTAATACCAAAAAACCCTGTTGGCTGGCGCGGAGTCGTGACCAGTGACTCAGCGCCATGGAGCGCCGGCCTGTCACCCAAAACAGTCCGAGCCGAGATCTGTGAGCTGGGG